AGATCCCAACACCTTTCAACCAAGATAGTTGATCGCTTGTCATCAAATTTATAGGAAAAAAAGAAAATAGAAGCGGCCTCTAGTCAGAATAGCGTGAGGCAATTCCTACAAAACTGAGTCTTAATACTTTTGCTATATTTCAGTTTTGTAATATTTCTAGACTCGTGTGTTTAATCAAATAACAGCAAACTGAACCCATTGCACAGAACAGTGAGTTAAAGGAATAGTTTGTCACTGTGGGACATGTGCTTATTCACTTTCCTCCCGAGAGTTAGATAAGGAGGTCAACGCCACGATTATATATCTTCACTAAATATAAAGCTACAGGGTTCATTCATTTAGCATTAAAGGCGTTTTGTGTGCGATAAATTGTCATCCTTATTTTTTGGGGAGTTTTCGAAGCACAAATAAAGGTAATCACGTTGTGAGGAACGGACATATTCAATATGTACACCAGCAGGAAGGCTCCATAGTCCAAAACCAAGACAGCAAACTGTTACTCCTTCCAACCTTGACAAAGGCAGCGCAGACCAGATCCACTCCTCACACTCACTAAAAGGAAACAGTAGCTCAGGCTGTACAACAGTTCAGCTCAGACAGACTGAAGCTTCTCTGTTTCAGTAGGATCTGCTCGTTAGTCCTCTACCTGCACCGATCTCTTCTACCTTTTATTCAATCTTTTATGGAAAAAAGTGCTGCAAATTTTGTCAGTTCACTTTTGATGCGTAATATTCGCAGCAGAGTATTTCACATTTTCGTGATGTTTATCACTCCCCCGGTCTGTAGAGGCCTTGAAGTTCACTAATTGAATTAACACATTAGATCTGGTTTCATACGACCACAATGTAAAAATGACATGCTGTGGTTCTACTGAGAGTAAAGGACAGGCACAGTTACTTCTTGAACACTGAAAGTCTCTGCTTCCAAATATGAAAGCACCATCAATCTTCTCTAACTCTGGGCAACAATGCAAATACATGTCTTTACCCAAATGGCAAACTATTCCTTTAATCGGCGCCCCCAGCATGTGGTTAATGTGACCATGCTTCCAATAACCCCGAAGCCTTTTCATGTATTTATGTCTTGTATGCTGCAATAGTCACCAATCCATCCAGCATGCATGTGTGCAGTCACTGTGATGGTCAAGAGATGTCTATTATCATTAGAGTCACTTTGAATAAATAATCTAATCTGAAAGCAAAGACAGTGATATTAAGTGAATCCCGTTTATCCGTTACGCGTCTTTAAAGGAAGCTTTAATCCAGCCTTGAGCCTGGACTGTGAATGAACACCATCTGATGCCTGTTTACTTTCAATCCGCTGTTTAATACAGCTGGTTTACTACAGCCGGTTTACCATTTCTAGTTATGTTATGTTCATGTGAGTGATATCTTTCACATCTTTCTCCAGTTCTGATGCATTCAGTGAAACAGTGGAACTCTATGGCACAGAGGAGGAAGAAGATACATCAGACTTTGAAACACACATTCACTGTTAGTTTTGGTCTTTTAATGGAATTTATTGACGATATATATGCAGCATAGAATTCATTTTAATAATGTGAATATTTCTTTAGCGACATGATGGCCCATGAAGTAGGAATTTCAAAGGATAAAAATCTAGTAAATTTAAATCAAATTCAGATCATTGTCATATCAGGAAATACTGCAGATTATTTAACGAAAACCGCTCAAGATTCCTTTTCCTGTATTAAATGTGCGATATGTATTTGTGTAATGTTTGCATTTGATGAAATAACAGCAACTTGTTATTCTTGTTGCCGTGACGGAGTAAATGAGTTCATTTGGCAGGTTTGAAACACATCACCGGCCAACAGGCGGAAACACTTTTTGTGTCCATTTTAATGATCTTGAATGCATCTTCCTCATTGGAGTGCCCTGAGAAACAGGTCAGGGACGAGCACGTCTAAAGTCTGCTCCACTCAGCTTGAAGCTTGACACCCTGCGCCTGGTTATCCACCACTGAGCTCAGCATCACTGGCTGAATACACTCATCACATCAGCTTCTATGAGCACCAAATCTCTGAGTGTAAAAAAATGGAGGACGGTGCGTGTACACTTGCATAACGTTCACATTTATTTGGTTTCAAGTCCTAACATTCTAAACATGCTTTTAAAACGCAATGATCACATTCTTCACAGGTAGTTAAAACAGAGCAGACAAGACTTCTGAAGAGAAACATTTCAAGTGTCTGTTCACGGCTGACGGCAGTGAGCAAATCTATTTCTTCCCTGAGATGTGTCAAGATTTTTCTACTCTTTTACCTTTTCTCATCTTGTTCCATCAATGCATCAGCCAATGTAAAGCTCAAGCCTCTACAGACAGGACCGCTGTAGCAGGATGTGCAGCACATGGTTATAGTAAGAGTGTTTGATTATAAGCAGCAACTGCTCTGCATTACAAGCTCCTTCCATAACTGTGGGCTCCAGTTCTCATCTTCCAGGGTACTAACAGTGTTACGGGGCTCGACACGCATGTTGGTTTGCCTGCACTGGCCTTTTATTGGAGAGATGGATGATGGTTCCTCCCAGAATGCAGCTGGCCTGCTAAACTTTTAAAATGATGCTTTTATACAACCTGGATCTTGTTTTTGCAAGTATGCAAATAAGACTCGGGGGAGTTAGCTCAAAGGCAGAGCTGTTTTAAGATGTCCCCTGTTGTTGGGCGTCATGCCGTTCCATATCAGCAAGTAAGGCTGGCAGCTTCTATTCAAATGCCATCCGAGTCCAACCCCAGTGATAACACGGCAGTAGTCTGTCACACGAGTAAAAAGCATGTAAACACAAGGAGATGTCACTTTGACCACAATTACATTCTCTGGTTGATAATCGATCACGAGATGCATCGACTGAGTCCGATATGAGTTCCTCTGTTGCCTTCAAGCGATAAACAACAATCAGGGAGCACGATGGATAAAAACAGTGTCGTATTATGATGTGGTGAATATAGTGTACACGGCAAACAGCCAGTCACAAGACAACAAGACGTACTTCAAAAAGGTCAACACAGGAAAATAAAGCACTGGTTAACTGCAGCAAGAATGCATCGTGTGAATGTAATCAGTGCTCTGTCATTGACATTCTTTCAGTTGGTATTGGATTCATGATAACAGGGCAGAAGTGAAGTAAAAGATGACTAGTTTAACATGAAATGAAGCAAAACAAAAAGAGGTAGAGGATCCTTGGAAGGTTGTTCAGTGTGTAACATACTTTACCGCCAGATGTCAGAAAATACAAGCTGCTCACAGCTGGTGAGTCTGAGGTAGAGAGGATTATGAGGCAACGCGTTTACTCCATTTAAAAAAACAGGTAAAGTGTATATAAATCTGAGGTCACTGAGTGAAATAAGAGACACAAAATAACAGAACATTGGTGCAATGAAACCAATAAATAAGTCAAAAGAATCATCTATTGAAAGAAAGCAACATGATGACAAATAAAAAGGTAGTTTCAGTACAGAAGTTGCAAATGTAGAACATATCCCTTGTCTGCAAAAAGAAATACAGAAAATAAAACACACTTTCTTCAGCATCTGTATCAAAATACGACAGGAAGTCGCAGTGGCAGTAAGGATGTAGTATATGTTGATGAGCAGAGGCCCGTATTGATCATCATTTGCTGCTACATTAAAAGAAAAAGAAAAACTTCAGATCCTCTTCCACTGTCAGATCTCAGCCGTCTGATGTTCACTGCATTCCTGGAGTGACTTTGTTGTTGGCCACCCTGAACCTCTCTCCTCTACGTCTGCTACAGAGTATCACCACACAGCTTGTAGAAATAGGTGGATTGCTAAACATTGGTGCTAAATGCTCCTTTGCTCTGATCATTATTTGAGAGAACTCTTCTATGAAACTCAGTTGTAGCCGTTCCTCCGCAGTGGAAAAGGATTTTAGGTGTTTTTTCGTTTTCTTTTAACGATACATCACATCACTCACACTTCTGTTGCATAAAAGTACATATCCCTGAGATTATGTGGTTTTAAGGGTGCGTTTTACAAGATGTCAAAAACACACATTTTCTCACTTACCTGTCTGGCTGTTCGACAGTCGTGGTTTTATCTGCTTAGATTTTGAGGTCCACCCCTAAACAAGGGTTGCAGGAATATTAAAACCTGGACAAATAAAACCAAAAGCTCAACTGCTTGATAAGTGAGAAACTATTGTATGTTCTTTGTAATTTAGCTGAATTTTCCCTTAAACCTCAGAAGCCTGTGTGATGAATGATGCATACTCTACGAGATGGAGAGACACAATGTTCTCCCCACATGCATCTTAGCTGCTCTCAGAATCCTGGTGGAAGAAAATGATAAATTTCATTTGGCTCTGGAACCAGAAATGGCTCCAAAGCATCACGTTTGCATTTTAAAATGATTCAAAGAATACATAAAAGGCTCTGAATTGTCAGTATTGTCCATATAAAACGTGCCTGACATCACCGAATAATACTTCTTTCCATAGAATACGGTGGACGAGGGAATGAGTTACGAAAAATCAAGTCCAAAAAAAGTCTAGAATTCATTCAAAGCTTAGAGGAACGATAGGGGTCCTCTTCACTCACTCCACCCCACTCCCCAAAAAAAGACAATGGATACATGAACAACAACAAAAACCGAAAACATTCACATAACTACAAAGGAACATGAGAATGTATAAAAATCAAAAGCTGAAAAGAGGCTAACTGAAACATGTGAAAGAGGAACACTGCACGGGACGGCCGGTGTTCAGCTGCACACACAGGTGGACAGGACAGAGAGACGCCACAGCCTCTCGCTCCGTCTGTCACCACATGCCAAGAAAACAAATCCACCCTGCACGTCTCCTCTTCAAACTACAGCCACTTTCACCGAATGAAGGGGGGGGGGGGGGGGGGGGG